CATCAACATCAACACAAGTTGCGCGGCTCGTAAACGAAATAAGTTTTTGTGTGCGAGGGTTTTGTGAAATTTAAACAAGTTGTCATAAAAATGTCGCACCGAAATCGCATTACTACTCGTACAAGTACAACTATCGCAGTCGCAGCCAAATCACAGCCCGTTGAGCGTTATCACCTAGAGATGGGTGCGTGAGTGACGATGACTACGCTCGTGTAAACATGCATTTATTTGAATCAAACAAAACGGACAATTCTCAGGACAAGAGTAAAAAAATGCATTACCTCAACTTTTATATATATTAGCAAAAGAAATTACAAAAACTGCCAACTTTAGATTTCTTCGATTGTTTTTTACAACAATTATAACATAATTTTATTATAATTAAATTATGTTTAAGATTGAAAATATTTTACGTGATGTTTTTTTCAAAATGGGTTTCAAATTGCAGTAACTTTTGAAGCAATAAATTTGTTTATTCTTATTTATATACGATACTAGCGACCCGGTACGTGCTTCGCTACGTATAAAGTGAAATAATAAAAAATATTTTATTAATTGCTAGCTATTTTAATACTTAATCCAAATCATTTGGATAAACAATATTTTTCCCCCATTTTGAGCATGAATAAACATACGGTTGGGGGTGTCGACTGTGGAACAGGCAACATAAAGTTGGAAATGTTTAAAATATGATTCTTCCAAATTCACACCACAATCCCCATCTGAATAAAGTTTTAATTTGCAAAATCCCCATGAACAAATTGATCCTCCATTTATTGAATTCATTTGTTACAAAAAATGTGATAAATAAAGAACCGCTCGTCCGATTATGTGCAAACTTCACATAAACCATCTACTAAATAGTCCGAACAAAGCCTAAGCATTTGGTTTGGATAGGTGAGCCCGTTCGTGAGTTATAAAATTACAACGAAAAGTGGCATTGCTTTTTATATACTTGTATATAGATTAACATTTACACATTTGAGGGCAAGGCATCTATTATAAGTAGAAGTTTGCTGTGGAGTTGGGTGCATCAGGAAACAGAAACGTTAACTTCCTAGGGCTTAAGGGAACCCGGATCACAAGTTTGGTTATTCTATCTCTTTCCCCTTCTGAGATCCTTGCGCTCATACAGACGGACAGACGGATGTGGCTATATTGACTCGTGTTGTCATTCTGGTCAAGAATATTTTTATATTTGTTTATTTATTATTAGTTAATAAATTTATGCACTACTTGTAGTCACAAAACTAAATTTTCTTAGATAAAATTAAGAGTTAAGTGAAAAGTTATTTTCCTTTAAAAATGTGTTTCGAGTCTTTTGAATACCCAAAAGGTTTAGGGATTTTACGGGATAAAAATATTAAAATGATAATAGTAATAGATAAATAGTTTTCCTGAGCCAGTGATATTAGATGTGCTCTAGGGTCAGTGTCACGCACTCATCTCTAGCTGCAGCTACCAATGCCGAGGAAAAGTTGTGCACGCTCTCGGCGTGCTTAAATCCACTGCGGTTGCTGACGCCCGCAACTTTTGCTCTTTCTGGTTCATGTTGCGATTGTCGTTGGCGACGGCTGTGGCAGCTGCAGCTTCTCCTCCTTGCAGCTTCTCTGGCTGCTCATCCTGCTGCCGCTGCTGCTGCAACAGTGCATGCAATTTGCTGTTTCGCCTTGTTTTCACAGAACTTCTTTACACAACAGTTTGGAGTTTTCGGGTGTCGGCTGCCACAATTGACACCTTTGAAATGTGACAGAAGCCCGAGGGTATTGAGGGTCTGGGCCTGGGTCTCGGTCTCGGTCTTGGGCTTGGGCTTTCACAAAGTGCGGACAAAAAGTTGTAAGAAGGTTGTTTGGTTGGTTTGTTGGTTGCTTGCCAGTATGTAGTATTACTGGGTTGTCGATGTTGCTGTGTTGCTTGGTGCGAATACTCGCATTTTAATTTGTGTGCATTGGCCAAAAACTCATTGCCTACCCGAGGGCGCTTTTTAGCCTTTCCGACTGCAATTTGGACAAAAGCTTGTCTCAGGCATACATAACTTGTTTCGCTCAGGTGGCTCAAGTTTTGTGCACTAATTTAATAGATGGCATTGTTTTTGGCGACAATGCGAAGGGCAAGAGCCCAACGTGCACAACAACAACAACAACAACTACAAAACGTGCCAAACATGAAATTTTCCGGAACAATTTGTAGCACGAAAACTTTTCTTTAAATCAGTGCGAAGACACAACGAATACAACGAACGAACGAACGAACGAACGAACGAACTAGCTGAGAGCACTAAGTTCTTTTAATTTTAATTAAACGGATGAGCAGCAATTAGCGGAATAAATCTGACAATTTTGCAAATGAGTCCAGTCTGGTAGGGAGCGTCTCAGGGGCTGCCAGCAAATTACCGAAGGCTGCAACAAAATGCTGGCGAATAGCTGTTAGTTGGTGTTGCTGGCTAAATCGCGTGTTTTTCCTCCTTTGATATAATTTAAATTGCAGCAGCTTCAATTGCAAAGCAAAGTCGCAGTTACGGCTCGAGTACAACAGCAATTTAATTGTACATTTTAGTTGAATTGCTTCACTTTGGTCCAGCCAAAGGGAAAAAAGGGCGAAAAAACTCGAAAATAATACGAAAAAGCGCTCGTTTAGCTTGAACTTCAGAGCTAAACGGTTTTTGCACTTTTCAACTGCTTCCCATTCCCTTCTGCGGGCTCCTGCGGCCTGCACTTTGAATAGTCCTTTTTTTTTGTTTTTTTGCTCCTGCGTTTTATATTCATTTTGTTGCTTTAATTGAGGCGCTTACTTGCATTTTCGTTGTCACTGCAGGATTTGTTGGAGCAGAAGGCATAAGCCAAGACATGGTGGGAAAGGGGGACAGAGGAAGCAGAGCCAGGACTCTGTCTGCAGCTTCCTGGCTGGCTATGTGACTCTGTGTGTGTGCCCCGTGTGCATCATCGCGTTGCGTCTTCACACAACATTCCCGCCTGCCATCAGTTTTTTTTTCGTTGTTTGCTTTTGCATTTAATTACGAAAGTTTTTAATTAAATTACTGGGTAGAACATCTGTGTCAAGTTGAGGTTTTTGGTGTTTGTGCGAATTAACATAAAGCCAGTGGGGCTGAATTTCAAAACACATCTTTAGAGCGAAAATGAAATTATTTTGAGCCCCCATGATATGTTTAAGGAAAATTAATAAAATTTTACCGGAACCTGAACGTGACCAGAATAGAACTTACTATATATAGAAAACATAGAACATACTACACCTAATTCTGTTTTTACACAGTAAAATGGTTCCAGAAAAAGTCGTGTAAAAAAACCGTGTAAAAAAAGACATTGCTCATATGTTATTTTGAATCATGCTAAATGGATATATACAATTTTTAATTTTCAAACCGTGTTAAATCAAAACCGTGTAAAAAAGGGCCGTGTAAAAACAGAATTAAGGGTAATCTTAACACCGAAGTTAAATGAAAAAAAAAAAAACATTCTTGAGTGTTCCAAAAATGTATTAATCTTCTAATTCTGCTCTTCTTTCCTAGTTTCGAAAAGCTTTCTTATTTTCAACATTAATGTAAAACTATGTTGTCAGAAGGATTCTTTCTACTTTCAACATTTTCCCAAATAATACTTTGCTAGGTTGATAGGGTACAAACATCGAAAAAAGTAAAGATATCCGCAATACATAGCTCTAATTACTTAGATGTATAAAATCCGCTTATGCATAAAATACCTACTATAAGAATTACAAATATAGTAGATCTTAATATCAGCCTGTATAACAAATGCAAAATCATGCACAAAACTTCTGAAACTAAGCAAATTAATACTATAACATTTAACATAAACCACATATTTTATTTTTCTCCCGCATTAAAAATATTTGTTCCCAAATCTTTTCATATACTAACTAAGCATTAGACAATAGCATAAAATAGTCAACGATAAAATATATTTTTGGTTAAATACCTCCATGTACATAAAAATGCTTTCATCAATATATAAATTCTTACTATAATATAAGAGCCCGTGGAATACTTTGAATTCCGATTTACAGCCTATCAAGTATGAGAAGTTAACTATTGATGACCAAACGAATACGAATGAAAAATTGTTTCGTAGTTTTTCCGAAAACTATCACGATATTGAAATTATTTTTCTTATTTCTTGCCAGCAGATACATAGGCCAAGAAAGGAAGAAGTTTATCAGGTTTATAGTTGTCAATGCAGGAAAGTCCGCTCCCAAGAAAAGGCTCACCTGGAAGCCCCACATTGTTGCTAAGCGCACACAACCTATCGATTAGCTTAGAAAAATGAACTGGTTGTTGGTTAGAGAATCTGAGCTAAAATAATGAAACGAGCTTTTGCTATAGTATACAAGAGTATACGCACGCCAGTTTGGACATATTACATCCACCTTTGCGGCACGGCCAAGATATTGCAAAACAAAGTACTGAGGAGAATCTCCAAAGCTAATCCGTTCATCACTAATGAGGGCAGTTATCGTGAACTTGGTGCTTTTTAAATCATAGACGAAGCAACGCTTCTTGTAACAAAAAGCTAATTTCAAAAAATATTCACAACAGAAATACATTTGTGTAGAGAGCGCTGTACTTGAAACAGTTTTGCTGATAGACAGCTATCACACCTTCACAACTATACATATTCTTATAAATACATACATATATACATACATACATATGTATATGAACGAGTTTGGGTGAATCCCCGAAGTGAGGGAATGCGTATAAAATGCCCCAGGGTTACGTCATAAATGTATATTTTATCTACAAACTCGTGAGTACATACATACATATGCATGTATTTACAAAAATTAATTGCAGTGTACATACATTTGGAAAGATCTTAAAAGTACCTTTAACATATTGCTTATTTATGTACATTTGTATGTTTGTACATATGTACATATATTTGCACATAAGGCTATCTGTGGGGGCACATCGTACTTAATCAGCGATGTTAGTGTGAGCGGGGAATTCGTAAATAGATGAGCCAGCTGAAGTCAGTTGCTCAGTTGTGTGTCAGATAGCGTGCTGGAATGATCTGTGAAAGATTTCTGATCTATATGGTGGCTGGTGTGGTGCTTGGTGTAGCCAACGCCGAAGATCTGGTCGTAGTTAAACGATCCGAATGGGGAGCCCGGCCGGCCACTGACGATATGAGACTTCTGGAATTGCCGGCAGACCGTGTGGTGATCGCCCACACGGCTAGCACGACCTGCAACGATGAGACGAGCTGTAAGGAGCGGGTGCGCAACCTCCAGCGTTTCCAAATGGTGACCGCACGCTTTGCGGACATCGCTTATCATTATCTAATTGGCAATGATGGGCGTGTGTATGAGGGAAGGAGTGCGACGAACCAAGGGGCTTTTGCAATCGGTCACAATGCTGGAAGTCTGGGCATTGCTTTCATAGGCTCCTTTAACGAGAATGTGCCCACGGATGAGGCACTGAAGGCTGCCCAGGACCTCATTGCCGAAGCTGTGCGACTGGGACAACTCAAGGAGGAGTATCAGCTGTATGGTCATCGTCAATTGTCGCCCACTGTCAGTCCTGGTGATGCTTTGTACGCCGTACTACAAAAATGGCCCCACTGGCAGAGCACGTGAAGCAGATATCGGGAAGTCCAAATTACTTGGCGTCTATTATATACAGACATATGAACTATCCGGTTTTTGAGACCCCTTCAACGTGATTTTTGTGGTATTAATCGTCTTTTAAATACGCTCACTTCATTCTCGCATCTGTACTTTCAAGAATTCATTTTTGTGGGTATGATCAAATAAAATCATTTGATAAATTTTAAAAAAGGAAGGATAAGGTGTTTCTTCTAGAGGGTGATCGAAAATTCCAAAAATTTACTTAATACAACTATGGAACAACCTAAGAGAATAATACATAACTACTTCTGGAAGTGCTTATCTCAGAAATCGAATATAGTTCGTCGATATGGGTATTTCATTCCTGCCATACATAGCATTATTAAGTTGGTATGGCCGATCAACTTCTGCATTGGTCTTGAACAAACGCATCCGTATAGTCAGCCTCAATTAGGCTCTCGAAATTAGTGCCAAACAGAAGAATCGATGTTCTAACTAAATGCACTGTTAGTAAGAAAAACCACGTGATTTTCATTTGAGATATCGACAGGTAAAGACGACCATTTCTTACACATTTATTGTAAATATAATTATGTATAATTTGTTGCTTGCTTAAATACCAATACTAAACTTTATTCTTCTTTCTTGATCTGTTTCTTATCAACTTTTTTTGCACAATCTCATGCAGTTTATTATTTTTTTTTGTTTTTTTTTTTTGGCTGCTCGTGTGCAGGTTGCTAAGCTCCCCAGGAGCACTGGGTATATTTTTTCTTTCGTATTGCGCAGTGGAGATTTGAGACATCACATATCATACACTGAACAGTTGGCGAATTCGCAGAGGCAAATAAGTTTTCAAATAATTGCTTGATTAAGGAGTTTACGCCGTGTACAAAAAAAAATTTTTATGCAATTCTGCTTAGGCCCAATATATTGATTTCGTGGGGACTAAGAAAGAGAGGAAGAAGCAAATACAATCCATAACGTTCTATCAAATATTTGCTAAAATTATTTACCTAAGGGAATTCACCATTTTTAATAAAATTAAACTAACTTTACAAAAGTTCGCATAGATGTAAAAGTACATAATAGAGATTGAGACTAAGACAAAGCTCGAAACATAATCAAGGCTTGGCAATCAAAATAAAGATGCATTAATTATAGAGGGAAACGACAGCAATGTGGATTTAGGAAATATTAAACAAGGAACTATACAAAATTCGTAAAGTACTTATATAAATTGCACTAATATAAGCCACCGTTCTGCACTGTTTCCAGTGGTAGCAGCTGCAGCCAGTTCTTTTTCTCTAGCCCCTCCTTTGTATCACCGCGTTGTGGACACAGAGGCTGAAAGCAAGTAGTCAGTCCTACGCTGGGCGTGAACTCTGCACGCTCGCGCAGCTCCTCCTCTGTGGCCAGCATAATACAATCATCATCGATGTCGTCGCTGTCGACGTACGCCAGCTGCTGTTGCTCCCGCTGCTGCTGCACAATGCTGTCACTGTTTCGCCGAAAGGAGTCATCCGTTTTGCGCAGGAAGTTGTAAAGCGCCACACAGCCGAGCACAACCTCACAAATATGCTTCTCACTCACTCGCAGCGGCTGCGCCAGTATTGGGAACATATTGCATAATATGCGAATCGTTTGCTCCGCGTGCGCAGTGACCTGCTCAAGCGCCTCATAGGCTGGACTATCTTTGGTCACATTGCGCGTGGTTACCAGATATGATCGGGCAGGTAGCACAGCATCACCCACAAAATAGTAACCTTTGCAATGGGGTTCGGCCTGCGTTTCCATCGCATTCATCTTGCTTTCTAACAGTTCCACGGCAGTTGTCTGGTTGTATATGTCGTTGGGCCGACTATTGGTGGCACGTTCAACGTTCACATATTGGAAATTGTTTTCTGCATCCACAATGCCTGTGAAAATGATGGGGGCGCGTTTACGATCATCACTAGCGCCTGAGCCGCCTGCGGCATTGCTCTGTAGTTGTATGCTGCGCATGAACAGGTTGCCCACACACTGTGGCAGGTTGTGCTTGCGCTCCATGTCTGTGGCCGCGTTGCGCCACTGCTCATCAGTCTTTGGTAGTTGCACGTATTGGTCCTTGAGGTGCTCGTAGAAGCCCAGACAGATATTGGCAATCATCTCGTTTATCACAAACTTCGAGGCACGGAAGCAGTAGTTTCGACAGGAATGTACTTCACCTGGAGACAGAGTTGGACAAAGAACAGTTAGAGAATAGTTCATCAACATAGTTTCACTATAGCTATTGACTAATAATTTTTCTAAATCTATGGTAAGACAGCGGAATAATTTGCGCACATATTTGTCAAGCTTCACAAGTATAATCCTTGGTTTTTACATTTAATGGATCACTTGTACAAATATACGACAATTATTTGCTTGAGACGTCCCAAATCCTTTAAATAGTTAAATGTGAAGAACTTTGCCATTAATGCTGAGGAGACAAAAGGTCTCAAAACTTTGAATATATCCAATATTATTAAGTTAAGCTTATTCTGGCGATCTGTATAGTCAGATGAAAAGTTAAACAATGGACAAGATGTTTGTTGATTATGACTTACCCGTTGCCAAATATTTGAGCGTGATGGCTAGTCGCTCCTCAGCACTGAAGGATTTCTTTTTGCGCTGAGGCGCATACTGACTGATAATCGGCTCCAGCTTCTGCACCAAGTACCGAAACTGGCTCTCAGTTATGGCTAGGAAGTAATTCAAATGGTAGCACTCGTTCTTCCTCGACTGCAGCTCACTTAGGAGATTTTCCTTGCTGAGAAACTCGGCCTGGTTCTTGCGCAGCCATTCCTTTGTCCATTCGAGCCGTCGCCGGGTATTCAAAATCCCGGCTAGATCTAGTGCGCTGATTTTTGAAGTCTGAGGTCGCGATAACACCGAAGTGCGGGCCGCCCCACCCACACCGACGGCAAGCGCATCGTTACGTTCTGCTCCAGGGGCGTTGCCATTGTCCCCATTGTCCTGTGTGACCCCGATTGTGACGGCCACGCCCACCTGATGACCACCGTTGACGACTCCGCCGCCACCGCCGCCGACACCACTGCTGCGATTCACGTTCGTGCCGCCGTCGCGTTCGCGCAGCACGCCAATAACCTTTAGTTTGATTTTGTCCATCGCACCAGTTAGTGCTGCTGCAATATAACAACGATTTACAACAACATTTACGTATGCATCTCATCAAAATAGTTCGCCAACTCGCCCACTTCCATTTGCCTCGTGTGTGTGCACATTCTCTGATGTGTATGTGTGTGTGAGCGAGTGTGTGCGTTTGTATGTTTGTGTGTCGTTTTGTGCAACAAATCGATTTTTACTCACCTCACCTCACTCCCCCCTTACGATGGCCTAGTGCTGCTGCTGCTGCTGCTCCCGTTCCTTCTGCGTTTTGGACGTTTGTCGTCGACGTTGTGTGTATAACCAGTTTCGTTCTTCAGAGGGTTGGGGGGAAAGTACAAAATATACGACTCTTGTATAATTCTATACGGCCCAGTGACGTTTTATCTGTGTGCGTTGCCTATCTGAATTTTACAAATTTGCACGTAGCTTTGACTTTTGCATCTGTCATCTGAGTTAGGTGATCGGTCCCTTAAAACGAAATCGTCGAACAAGACATAGGGCAACAACAACATACAGCTACGTTGGCCACGAGGCTATATTAGCAGCAATTTCATAGTCTGATTGTGCGTTTCTATTGTTTATACTTTATTAGCTATTGCTCCGCCCTCTGTCAATTACACAAATTTGTTTAATACGACATTATTATGTACATTTTCACAGCGAGTCCGTTTTTCTTAACCCCACCACTGTTCGCGTACACGACGAAGTGGTTCTTCGTTTAGTCAGCTGTGCTCAGCTGAGGGCAGGGTTGTCGAGCACTGGGCATGCGCCGAGCCAGTGTGGTTACCGGAACTAGTTAATTTTTTGAAAAGAATCAAGAGAATAAAGCTGTGAATGGCAAAAGCCATTGTAATTATTTTTGCCTTAATCATTAAAACAAAAACATCCACTCTTTTGAGAAAATTTAAGTAGTTCATAGACGGTTTTATTTGTATATGGTGAGGTAAGCATCCTTCTATAATAGTTCCTATGCAAGTATTACAAACAAATATTCGGAATGTCTTCAATGTTCAATGTTATTAAAAACGATATTGGTATAAATAGTCTTGTTTGGCATTTTACTTACGTGTACTAAAAAACAACGACTACAAAGAACAATGTTTTCGCAGCTCATTGTTATGTTTCTTTTTGTTACACTCATACAAACCTTGCATATACATTGAGCTTTCAATATCTGATAAGATAATGCAATTTAAATGCGCGGCTACCTTTTATACGAACTAATAACGTTCCAGTTCTCAATAGGCGGAATCAGTTCAGCAGTCAGCTGGAGCACTCACAGCTGTTTGGGCTTTTACGTTTACACGCCCAAACAAATTTGACGAACTGTTGCATCTGGTCACGAAATATACCGCGTGTGTTTTTGTTTACAATACGCGGGCAACAAACGCTCAATTGGAAATTCGAAAACTGAGCTCGCAATCCTTGAAATCCTTTGCAGAATGCCTGTTGTGGACGCTAGCGATCTGGCAATGCTGCAGAAGCGGCCGGAGCAAATACGAAATATTTGCATTCTGGCGCACGTGGACCATGGGAAGACAACATTGGCAGATTCACTGGTGGCTAGCAATGGAATAATTTCACAACGCATGGCTGGAAAGTTGCGATACCTGGACAATCGGCAGGATGAACAGGAGCGTGGCATCACTATGAAGAGCAGTAGCATTTCCCTGTATTACAGGGGCGGCAATGAGTTGGCATCCAAACAAAGTGATTATCTGATTAATCTGATTGATTCACCCGGTCATGTAGATTTCTCCAGCGAGGTGTCCACGGCCGTGCGCTTGTGTGACGGTGCCATTGTTGTAGTCGATGTAGTTGAGGGTGTAGGACCACAAACACGAGCGTGTTTGAAGCAAATCTATGAAGAGCAGCTAAAGCCTGTGCTGGTGCTCAATAAATTGGATCGACTGATATTGGAAAAGCAAATGACGCCGCTGGATGCCTATTTCCACATAAGCCAGTTGCTAGAGCAAGTGAATGCTGTGCTGGGAAGCATCTTTGCCTCCGATGTGCTGGCGAAGGAGGACATTACGCAGAAGGACAACTACGAATCGGCACTGGAACAACTAGACGATTCTGAGCTCTATTTCTCGCCTGCCACGGGTAACGTGGTCTTCTGCTCTGCCTACGATGGTTGGGCTTTTGCCGTGGGAGACTTTGCTGTTACGTATGCGGAGCGTTTGGGAATGACGCGGGACGATTTGGAGCAGGCGTTGTGGGGAGACTTTTACTACAATGCCAAGAAGAAATGCGCTGTGGCGGGTGCTCAGGAGAAGGCTAAGAAGCCAATGTTTGTGCAGTTTGTTTTAGAAAACATATGGAGCCTGTACGACATCATAGCGGTGCGCAAGGATAAGGAAAAGTTACCTTCCATAGCCGAAAAGCTGGGTCTGAAATTGCAGGCGCGCGACTTGCGCGTAACAGACCCTAAGGTGCAGATCAAAACAGTGCTGGGGCAATGGTTGCCCATCGATCGGAGTGTACTAGAGATGGTTGTCCGGCATGTACCGCCACCTCACAGTATCAGCGATGAGCGTGCCCAACACTTGCTCTATCCGGCCAATGTGGATTTAAGCTCGCTGCCCGTCGAGACGTTAGCATTGAAAGAAAACTTCAAGAGTTGCGCTGCGCAGAGTGAGAATGTCATAGTATTCGTGTCTAAGATGACGCCCGTCCATGTGTCGCAGCTGCCACAGAATCGGCCAAAACGCCTGAACGATGTGGAACTGCAGCAGCGTCGGGATGAAGTTCGTCGCCGTATCGAAGAACGCAAACAGCTGAGTGAGCAAGCAGCGTTGGCGCAGCTAACCGAAGGCATGGAGCAACTTCACACTGTGAGCGCGCAGACTGCAGAGTGTACGCCCACATCTCAACCAGAGGTGGAGCAGGAACAAAGTGACTTCGTGTTTGTGGCCTTTGCGCGCATTTTTAGCGGAACGCTTAGACGTGGCATGGAATTATATATTTTGATGCCCAAACATGATCCTCGCCAGCCCACGCATCGTGTACCTGAAGAGGCGCCCTATGCCACGCGCGTCGTTATCGGTGATCTTTACCTATTTATGGGTGGCGAGCTACAATTGCTGGACGAGGTACCAGCCGGCAACATTGTAGGCATGGGCGGACTGGAGACGCACATTGTGAAGACTGCCACAATCAGCAGCACGCTGAGCTGCACATCCTTTAGTGAACTGAGCGTGATGGCCACGCCCATTCTGCGCGTTGCCATTGAGCCGGTGCAACCACAGGATATGCCTAAACTTATCAAGGGTCTGAAGTTGCTCAATCAGGCGGACGCATGCGTGCAAGTCTCTGTGGCGCCTAGTGGAGAGCATGTGATTACCACATTGGGTGAGGTACATGTGGAGAAGTGTGTGCATGATCTGGAGCAGAGCTATGCCAAGATCAAGGTGAATGTGTCCAAGCCAATTGTGTCGTTCAGGGAAACCATTGTGCCTGCAGCTACTGTGGACATGGTCAATGAGGCTATTGTGAAGACAGCCGAGGACAAGGACATTAGCAAAAAGATAGCCACTCAGCATACGCTCAATAAGCTCGGGACTTTGTGTGTCATTGCACTCCCGTTACCGACTTCGGCTGTGGAACTGCTGGAGAAATACAGTAACTTCTTCAAGGTATGCACTCGACAATCAGAGGCTCGAAAAGTTTATGTATAATTGAAAAAAAAAAAAAGTGAACTAAATAACAAACTACCTTCTTCTATTGCTACTTACAGGAGCTTGCCAGCATATCACGCAACACATTGCTTTCTGAAAAGTATTCTACACTGCTGGCCCAGATAAAGGCTCAACTCACCACAGCCCTAGCTGATTTGGATTTGCTAGGCTTAAGCTCCCTTAAAGCTGAGGCTCTAGTCGATCGCATTTGGGCTCTGGGCCCACGCAATTGTGGTACAAACATTCTACTTAATCTGACTGATTACGAACAGCCAGACTTTTGGTCACCGCATTCCAAGAGTTCTGACACGGATGTCCGCGCATCATCAACAGATGTGCGGCGAGATTACAATAGCTCCTTGGTCAATGGCTTTCAACTGACTACGGCCGCGGGTCCATTGTGCGAGGAACCCATGCAGGGCGTTTGTTTTGCCATCCTAGAGTGGTCTGTCCAATCCGACCGTGAAGATTTAAATGCACGCGCTTTTGGGCCTTTTTCGGGTAAGCCGTAAAAAACGAAAAAGCACAGCAATGTTTACTTATTTCGAGTAAATTTTAATCTGTTAGGTCAAGTTCTTACCGCTTCTAAAGAGGCCTGCCGACAGGCATTTCAAAATCAACCGCAACGTCTGGTAACGCCCATGTATAGCTGTAATATTGTGGTGAACGCGGAAATGTTGGGTAAGTGGAATGACTTTTACTTACTTCCCCTCTCTCTGAAATGGCTAGCGAGATTTTTTTTTAAATCTTTGCACCATCTGTATCTTTTAATTCGTGCAAAGAATTTATTGTAGAAAATTGCAAGGATATGTCCTATCGTATAAGAACTCCATTCCCCTCTTCTCTGTTTTATGACATTTCCAGCATACTCGTAATACAAATTCAATTTCACTTTTACTTTTTACTAATGAGTATGTATTTTTAAATAATTTATTACATTTATTTCCATTTTCTTGAGCAAATTGCCAAAGGTTTGCATCATATTGGAAATGTTTCCGCATTTTTGTTCAAAAATGTTGTTATTGTTGTTTTTAATTATCTACTAGTAAATGCAGCTTAAAATTAAACATAAATAAGCAACTAAATGTAATTTTTAAATAGTGTTCGATTGTTTTTTTTTTTTAGATTTTGCACAATTTGCTTGCTTGGTCGGTGTTTGCTTTTTGTAATAGGTTATATTATAGTTTCAAGTAATTTGCACCTAAACTAGTTTATTTATTTTTGTATTCCATTTTTTTAAATAAATAAAAAAATGAATTGAGGCCACGTTTACGTTAAATGCAAAACAAATTAATTAAACAATTAATGATGGCGAGTCGCGCGTAATTGTTTAATTAATTCGTTGGTCGCTTCGTTTCAATAAAAGTAGAGTTAAAATTTTAGGCGACGACCAATCCCTGCCAGTGGCGCCGCCCCACAAATGCCATTTTAAATGCCTAAACTTTACGTGCCTAGCGCTAAATACATATAGTACGTGTTAAAACCGCCTCTCGCAGGCAATCCAGCTCTCATCTCCTCTCACTCCCTTCTGGCCCAGCTGCCTTGCTTCAGTCACAGTAGGTTGCAGTTTGTCTCAAAAATTCGCTCGCTCTCCTGGCTAATCGAAATTTTGTGCTATCAATTTTACGTTACTACGCTAATGTTGACGCGATGCTGACATCGTACGTCAACTTTAGTCCCAGACTATGGTCTGTTGGAATTCCAGTACACGATCCCAGGGAAACTCGGGCTCATAACTCTCCGCCTCCGACACCACGGAGCGTTTGCTGCGGCTCTCCAGCTGCTGCGGCTGCTGAGATTCCGTTGGTTTGGCGAGCTCACTGGCCGCAGCGGCCACTGCCTCGCTCAGTTCTGCTTGCAGCGTGGTGCGGGCTTCGTCGCTGGCCTGCGTGCTGCTGGCTATGGATGTCTCCTCTGCGCCTGCCGCCTCAATGGGCGCATCGCCGCGTCTTTCATTGTTGCGTCCGTAGTTGCTGCCTGGAAAATTGTTGATAGAGAATTGATCCGGACGGAAGTTGGGCGCATTATGCGAGTGCGTGCTCTCCGGGCGATTCAGATATTGATAGCTGCTGCCGCCGCCATTCTGAAAGCTTTGATCTGGTGGTTGGTAATTGGAGCTGAGAGCGGATGCACCACCGCCCGAGTTGCTACCACCGCTGTAGATGGGTCGTCCATAGCTATCCTTTTGAGCCGAACCATACACTGCACTGCCGCCGCCCAAAATGCTGCTGCTTAAGCCTCCGTTGCTGGCACCACCCGCCACTCCCACATAGCTGGATTGTGTGCCCGGTCTGTAGAAGGGCTTCTGCAACTGATAGCGTTTCGGCGGCTGCGAGCTGGGCTTGCGTACCGAATAGCCCGGCTTGACGCACATCATGCCGAATACGCGTATGCCGGGGACGCTGGCATACGTGGGCTGATCATGCGCCATTGGACCCTCTGCATGGAAATATAGAAAGTTTACTTTCTGCGATGCTACTGCCTGTGTTTTTGACGCTTCACTCACCCATTTTAAAATGATCCGGACAGCGACATATGACCAGGTAGTGGGACTTGCCAGTGCGCGTATTTTGCAGAGCCAGCAGCGACCAATCCTTGGGCGAGCGGCACTCGCGCATTTCTGTGGTGGCCTCGCAGGTCTTCGCCAAGGTAATTGCCTGTTGAAAGGAGCAGTAATGAATGTGTGCTACGATAGATGTGCCGTTAGCTTGTCTAGACTTTGATGATGGGTTGCTGCTCTAACTGTGGCTAATAGGTGATGCATTCACTTGGTGGCTGGGCATTTATTGCGTCTGCTATTTTGGCCGGAAGGCGCATCTCATTTTGACGAAGCAAAGAGAAATGAAAGTTGTCTCCTTGCCTTGGCTAGGCTTGTGGGCTTCCATTTTCATGTTAACGAAATTGGTCTTTTGATTAAAGGGTTGCTAGGCTTCGAGGTTTAAGATAATACAATTGCTTTTGGTAAAAATAAATGAAGAAATACTAGTTCTTGATAAAGTGAACGCGTTTCAGAGGCAAGAACACGTTGTGCATTTTTTTTTTCCAAAATAACTTGCTGGTTTCAACATCTTTTCTTGAAATACCAAAGTCGTGTTTTCCCAGGTCATGGTGTAAACATTGAATCCAAATAATGCCTTTACTGGTCCCCAAAAGACAATAAAGATGACGGCATAGAGTGCGAGGCGAATGACATTTTCAAAAATTGCCTTTTTTATTCTGGAAGGAATCTACTCGAAAACTAGTAGCAGTCTGCTATGAAATTGCGTATTCAAATATTTTACTTTGAGTGTCAACAATGCGTTTCATGGTAATAGAATAAAAAATATTTATTTATTTATACGCATACATTTTATATGAATAGTTTAGTAGCAGCCTTGCTCTTCCTTTGACAGAAAATTTAGTCTTACTAGTATTTCAGTCCCCACTGTACAACTTTTATAGGCTTTGACGATAGAGTGGGGCGGACTTAAAAGAATGCGCATATCAAGTTGGAAAACTTCAGTTCTCATTTTGTTCGGTAACCTTGCCTTTATACAGACGAATAGATGTCTTAGTATCTACGGATATCTACTGCTTTGAATAGAATATACATATTTGTTTTTCATTTGAGGATACCAATAATTGATACGTACTATTTATATCGACTTAGGGGTCTTTTAAACTTGTAGTTAAATGTACATCGATGTTCATAAGACAGACAGGCAGATAAACAAACAAGCTATATCGATTTAATTCAACTAGATTTTCCGGTCTGATATGAGTGTTGTGGCGCCTGCCACGTCTAGTTTTGCTTGCTACACTCACATCAAATCAGCTAGTAGGTAGGACATAGAAAAAGAGGAGAATTCTGCAAGTTCATCTTGCTTTCGATCACATCTTATTGTGAAAGTTTTAATTGAGCTTCTAGCTGTGCCCGCCAATGGGTTAATCTTTTCCAGCAATTTCAACTCTGCGTTCGATCAAGCCGCATGCTCGAGTGTCAAATTGAATAGCAACATGCAACCAGAGCGCTGACGGCCCAGTCAGACTGCCCTGATCCCAGCAGCCACCGTGTCAGCGCCATGCCTCAGTTTCGATTGGACAAGTAGCTGTCACTGAGTGGAGCCGCCACACTCACAGCTCGGAGTTGCCACCCAGAGGGCGCATTGAGTGTCTGTCTTTTTGTCTGCACTTTTAGTTGCAACTGCAAGGCGTGTTTGTGCCACATTAACTAAGCTTTCCCAAAATGACTGCCAATTGATGTGCTCAACAGCTTAACACTGTCCCGTGCTTGTGGCACAGTCTGATTTGTGTATAAATGTGTGTGCATCTAACTGATTTTTTTTCGACTTGGCTACGTGGCTACTTGGCTACTTGACTACTTGACTACCTGGTTACTGTTGCTGCCTGTTGTGTTGTTTGTGTGGTTGTTATTGTTGCTGTTGTCAATAATTTGATTGACTCGAGGCGCTTTGCATGTTGCCGCCATTTCTTTGGCCTCGCTTGCTACTGTGACGGCCAATTGGCGGCCATTCAGGTTAATGCGACTGCCAGTTGTCGGCGTTCCAGTTTTTGCATTTTCCATTCAGATCTTGGTGGTCTCTCTCTCTTGTTATTGTCACATTCTCATAATTTCCGCAACGGTACAGTTTCGCCAGAGCTTTGTTCAGCAAAGTGTTCGCACTTAACGGAATGTGGCAGCGCTCTCTGGCCATTAAAACTATTAGAGGTTTTATTGTTTAATTTATTTGAATGCCTTTTAATGCTTTGCTGCAAATACTCGTAGCCACAGACTCGACTGGATGGGTCTGCTTGCCACTTACTATACTCGTAACATATAACTCAACTAGCAGGTATTGCCCGTCTTAACCCGGCTCAATATAATGTTTCCAATTGTATTTATTTTGTGTGTGCATAACCTACCCATATGTTTTCACCTTATAAGTTACCAGTAGGAAGGCATTTAAGGTATTTAAATGAACATTTTCTGTTCTTGACAAAAAATTGTTCAGTAGTCCGTTACATTTTTGTTCTTGCCAAACTATTTCTTTAAACGAACATGACCACTATAACTAATATTTTTTTAAACCTCCCCCCTTTGGAGTTAGAATTTTCCAAAAGCCTTTCTTAGTGTGCTCCTACACTATGATGGATACTATGAAAGGATACTTGAGTCCAAATTTCATCTTTTACCGTTTGGGCTGTGCGTTGATCACCAATTAGTCAGGACAAACTGTTTTATATATAGAGATAACGCAACGTTTTAAGATAGACTATGTGCAAAAAAGGGGAATAATTATAAGGGTATATCCTAATTTTAAATTCACATTTGAGTCAATACGGTCACGCACAAACTCGGAATATGAAACACGGCACTCGTGTCAATGCCGTGCAGCGATGAGCCACGATCAAAAAGCACTGACAATTCTCATCTCAATTTGCTAGAGTAAAACTTTCGATAGTTGAAGCCACCGATACCATCAAAATATCGAAGTTTGAATGCAATAAGCAGAATATTTAAATAATAAAATCTAATTATTTATTGAGATCGATAAGAACAAATCATATACATACATACATCTGCCCGCAATGCGAAGCAGAATATGCGTAGCTCCGTTATTCGGTTTCTGCTTTACTATCGCATACGCAGTCGTTGCTTAGCGACGGTAACTGTAAACTTTTGGCGTTTTGCCTTTGCAATTAACATTAAATGGTCAAAACGAAAGAAGATGAGCGAGCCAACAACTTGAAGTTGTTGTTGTTGTTTTGTATTTACATGCTTCATACATATACAGGCATAGATACATATGCTTGTACATATGTATGTATGCATGGGCACACATAGACACGAACTGTTCCCAACTATTTGATATTTGATATATGGCAAGTAAAAAACATATTGCTATATTTTAATCGTTGAATGCCAATTTGTTGATATAGTTATGTTGATTACATTACCCAAATTTGAAATCGATCGGACAAAATTTATAACACAAACTATTCATTTGAAAAAGTGAATAAATATTAAAACCCCAATAATAAAATTAAATGCGATATATCGAAAATATCGATACTTGTGTTGATATATCGTAATACATGTCGAATACAAATACATCGAAAAACATCGTTTGAGAGTTATTGATTATAATACTGTATTCGATTGTACACTGTACACATACATACATACAAATTTATTTGTATGTGTACTGTAACTGTAAACTTTTGGCATTTTGCGTATGTAATGAACAGGCGTAAATGATCAAAACGAAAGAAGATTTGCGAGCCAATAACTTGAAGTTGTTGTTGTTGTTTTAAAAATTTTGATTTGAAACCATAGAAAACTATTTTTTACAATTAAACAACAGTGTTCGATAGCCCACTGCATACTTGTACATACAAACCTATATATGTATATAGGAATGTATGAACGTACATACATACTTATTGATGTACATACATACATATGTACATGCTATACATACAGACGTATGTACGTATGTAATACATATGGTGCTGCCGTAATTCATAATGCGAAATTCTTTCTAAGGGGAGAAATGTCCCCCCTGCCCAACCTGTGTACGCCCTTGTAGTCCGTTGTCCTAAAAACCCCTTATGCCAAATGTACTAAACAAAGAAAAAATAGCATAAAACTGTTTATGTTATAATGTTAATAATTTTTAATTAATTAACATTTCTTGCCCTGTCAGTGCAAGACGAATGTACTTTTGTACATACATATGTATGTATGTATGTACATATATGTGTACAAATGAACATTCACACATTAGTGTCTCACATTTTGCTTTGGCTACTTCAACCGTTTACACGCAACTACACGAACAGCTGCTTGTATGTATGTATGTGTGTGTGTGTGTATGTATACTTAGTTGTCCCCAACTGTTTGATATTTTGTATTGTTTGTTCTACCTGCATTTGTAAAATGCATATTTTAAAAATCGTTAAATGCAAAGTTGTAATTTTAGTTACGTAGATTATATTACCCAAATTTGAAATCGATCTGACAAAATTTATAACACAAACTTTTCATTTGAAAAAATGAATAAATTTTAAAACCCCAATAATTCAAGCTCCAACACAAATTTTGAAAAACCGAGTATGCAGTTTTGTTTGTATTCTTTTATAGATTATAAAACCTAAATTTAAAGTTGATCGATTCAAAAATGCAGAATTTTCAAACAAACTTTGGAGCTACTTTTCCCCCCTTTGGAGCTCGAATTTTCCAAAATCCCTTCTTAGTGCGCATCTACACCATGATAGGATACTTGAGCCCAAATTTCAGTTTCCTAGCTTTTACCGTTTGGGCTGTGGGGTGTTGATTGTGTTTCAATTTTTCCACAGAAAACCCCCCTTTTTTCATGCCCCAGGAAAAATGGTGAAAAACCAAGTATACAGTTTTTCTTGTATTCTTTTTGAGAGTATACAAACTAAGTTTGAAGTTAATTGGATGAAAATTGTAGATTTTTCATACAAACGTTGGAGCCCGTTTTCCCCCCTTTGGCGTTCGAATTTTCCAAAACCGCTTCTTAGTGCTCACCTACACCACTGAAGACAACATGTGTCCAATTTTCAGCCTCTTAGCTCTTACCGTTTGGGCTGTGCGTTGATTGCACATAGCTTTTCGTTTACCGAATTTTCCACCGGAAAATCATTATTATTCAGGCCGCAGGAAAAATATTGAAAATCCAAGTATACAGTTTTTTTTGTATTCTTTTTGAGAATATACAAACTAAGTTTGAAGTTAATCGGATAAAAATTGTAGATTTTTCATACAAACGTTGGAGCTCGTTTTCCCCCCTTTGGAGCTCGAATTTTCCGAAACCCCTTCTTAGTGCTCACTTTCACTATAAGAGGGATCTTGTGTCCAAATTTCAGCTTCCTAGCTCTTACCGTTTGGGCTGTGCGTTGATTGCCAATCAGTCAGTCAGTCAGTCAGTCAGTCAGTCAGTCAGTCAGTCAGTCAGTCAGGACAAACTGTTTTATATATATAGAGATTACGGTGCGGTACAAAAAAAAAAAAAACGCTCTGCCCACTAATAGACTACGTGAGATACACACACCACACTCAAACACATACATACATACACCGAGATGGCTACTGCTTTTGCAATTTTCACAGCGACCACATATACATATATATGTAAGTTTAAACACATTTCTAACACAACCTGCTCTGTAATTTGTAATTATATTCGCTTACGTTACAAAGAATTAATGAATTTCTTTTAAAAACTTCTGGAACGGTACAAAAGCGGTAAAAGGGCACACAAGATAAGTAGTAGTAACCAATCATAGTATGAGGAATCACGTAAATTTCATTTATGTTTTTATTCGTCTTACTATACGAGGGGCAGAGGCGGTGTTTTTTTTTTTTTTTTTTTTTTTTTTTTTTTTTTTTTTTGGGATTCCCCCTCCTCTTCCCTCTGCAGAACTTCATCAATACTGTCCCCAATTTCAAAGCAACTCATGCTAAACTTTACGTATGTACGTAATTAATATATAATTCCCTTCATCTAGATGCTAGAAGGATATATCCTGTTTAAATATGATGTTTTAAATATTATATGTACCTATTTTATAAGGTACTTGGATTTTCATCGTTATATCGTAAAAATTTGTTTTTTTCATGTTCCGGGGTTGTTTAGACATCCCAGTTATTTATTTATCCGAGTTATTTATTTATATCGTTCAGCCATTAAATTAAATCCGCTTATACGTACTACTATTCTCACTAATCGATGCTAATCATGAACTAAAATATTTTTCCAGAATTAACGTTGGGGCACAGTAAAGTAGACCTACGAGCTCTAATTTTTTTTTTTTAGAATCTTTCTTTAAAGGTTAAATTCGATCTCTAAGGCATTTTAGACCAACATAATGATACCAAATTAATGTATGCACTCTACTCCCGCCTTTCGCAGATATCTAGGTTGTGCCTTGCAATTATACACGATCATGAATTTAAGTTCTTCGTACACGAGTATGCATGTCGCATCTCGTTCGTGGATGTTGCCAGTCTGAGCCATCGTGCCACGGAGCTCAATGAAATCAAGTCAATTATGCGCTTGTTAGGCACTTAGTAGGAAACAGCTGGACATTAGACAGCGAAAATACTGTATTTGCATCTCTGCGAATGATGATGCAACTCTTTGAGTCTTGAAAACAGTTACTCAGTTACGTAATGAATGCAGCAAATGAATGAATACGTCGGGAGCAACGCCTCCTGCCGTTTTTAGTGCGCTTCCTGGTCACTTACCTTCTTTTTATTATCACCAACCAATTTCGTTGTGTGCTGATCGTCTTCGTTCAGACTGGCCGAGCAGGGATCACGATATCTGTGGCATATAGCATAGCAAACGTAAGGGATTAGTATCAGTGTTGAGTGGGGAAAGCTCAGCTGAGCTGTCTTAGATTAATTGCTGCCGCTGTTGAGTCGCTGTGGGCGCTGTCATTTCCAGAAACCCGACAACAAGAGACAAACAAAAAATGAAAGAAAACGGTTGCCCAGCAATCGGATCACTTACCTTGATGGACATGCGCAGAGCGGTTGGGTGTAATTTAAACGCACGTAGACAGCATTACAAACTTGCTGGATTGCACACTCGGGCAGCAGATAGATGTGTTGATTGTGTGGATAATAATGATATTTGGTGGGTTTCGCTGTCGCTGTTTTCTGTAAATGAGCAAGTTAGATGGAATGAGAAATGATTAGACATATAATTTGCAGATGCTTGTTGATTGATGTGCCAAGTGTTTGTAATTAAAGGCCCCTACACTCAGCTAACCATCTCGAAGGCTTAATAGATAGAGCCAACTTGACGTTGCGACTTCGCCGCCAATGGGCACTTTGTGGTAACAGACAGGCCGGCTTGAAGGACATAAAAGTACTCTTTGTTTGAGGAACGAGTATTTCTATTTTTAATTCACCTATGCTTTCTTATTTTCTGGAGCATGTTTAGTTTAATTCGAATTTTATTTAAGAGAATTTTGAATAAATTTGTAATTTATCTTTGACTCCTCTTTATGGGACATGAGCTACCGGTAAAAAGGGTGTAAATGCTCGTTTTACATTTTTAGTTCACTTATTCTTTCCTATTTTCTTGAGCATTTTTAGTTTAATTCTAACTTATGAAAAGAATTCCTTATATACATATGAAATTGTAATTTATTTTTGACTTCTCTGTATGCGCTAAAAAGGGTGAACCCAACCACCGCCCTTCAGAAAATATCTCTTAAATGTTTATATACATATGTTTGTACAAGCATTTTGCTACTCTAGCGGAGTAGTTGAAAAAGTCGAATATACAAGTAGAAGCTGAGCATCCCACAGTCGGTTGAACTCAATTGTATAAAGCGTTCTTCTGTCTTGCGCTTCATTCGCTAAAGTGTCGGACAGTACGCGCCTTTAGGCCTTCACTCGTCGCCAGTCTTGGCTTAGCTTGTTTGTCAGTTGCAAATATTTGTTTGTTTATTTATTTGTCTGCCAACCTGCCTGCCGGACTGCCTGCCTGCCTGCCTGCCTGTCTGCTTGCTGCTCTATGAGCCGTCTAAGTGTTGCACATAACACATATTTGCTACTCAGTTAGTGAGTGGAGACTTTAGAGCGCGAAATTGATGCTGTCGAGTGGCAGCAACAAACCATTTTTAAATAATAATAACAACAACTACTGCAGCAGCCGCTGCCGCAGCCGCAGCAGAAGCCGCAGCAGTAACAACAGCAGGAGTGTTGAAGGTAAGGAAAAATTGAAAACGGTTAAATGTAATAAAGTTCAGTCGTTCGTTGGTCGCATTCAAATAGCATACGGGTTGGCAAGTCAGCCAAAGCGGGTTAATGGCTAGCGAGACCCTCACATAATGCCGGTACGTTCGAGCTCTTGAAATTGGTTTGCTGCACTCGTCTTCTGTTCATCTTTTCCTCTTTTCCGTTCGCTCGTAACGAATGCAGCGGAACCGCAGTCAAGGAAAATGAAAAGTTATTAAGAAAATGGTGCAGCAGTATGTTCGGGAAATAGTGAGTTATGTGTGTATGTATGTGTGTGGTCGCTTGGTGTGGGTGAAGCGGAGCGGAAGGTAGGAAGCTGCCACTACTACCACTGCTAAATGCAACTTTTCTGGATAATTTCAGTTGCACGGCACTTGCGCGCTGCCACAACTTCCTTCCTGCAACTAAGACTCGCTTCCCTGCTCGAACTATTGCTTCTTGCTTCCAATTTCATTTATGCGGTCTGTTCTTTTTGTTTTTCATTAGTCGAAACTTTTCAAATATGGAAACGCACCTCACAAGTTTGGCTTGTGTGGGTCGGCTGCTCCTACGTTGTGGTTTTCGTTTCGGAAAACTATTCAAACATTTATGGCACATTTAAAAGTTTTGAGGTAGCTGCCACTTTGTCTAGCTTTGGCCAATTACACATTTTTCATGAATTATGTAGATTATATATATTTTAAAATCGAAATCAAGCACTCGCCTAATGAGAAAGAAACTGAGCCAATAATGGTTGTAATAAGTAAAGTTATTTATTTCTCACTGGGTTTCTATTTGTAAAGCAATTTATTAACATGCCTGCATTCACAGCTGGAATTGAATAAGCAAACACGATTTATTTTGATTCATTAACTTGAATTACTCAAAATATGATTTATGCGCCGCTTTGGTTGCACTCCATGTGCTCTTTGAATTAGGGGATCTAATCATCAGATCAGTAATATCTTCAACAATTTATTACTCATATACATATACAATCGATTAAATGGGGGGTCTACCTTGGGGGGGGGGGGGTCGTGTTCTCTGTTTTTTCTTAGTCTAGTTACTAGTTAATAATTGCATTCAAAATGTGACTAATTTTGACGAAATTCGCTAAAGGGGTGTAGGGGGAATCAAGATGGATATGTCTAGATCGATTTCTTTCGTCATGCTGATTAAGAAAATATGTACTTTACGGGGTCGGAGGCGATAAATTATGAAAGATATTGGGATAAGATTTGTCCGGGTTGTTCGCAAATTTCAAAGAAGAGAGAACGCTACAGTTGACCAAACCCAACAGTGTCATATATTTTTACACTACGGGTGCAGGATATGATTATCAAAGCATTTGAAATCGATTCCATGTTCCAGGAGAATATATCAAGACCTGCACCCCATTAATTCAATTTTGTTCGATATAAGTACATATATGTATGTTGTTTTATAGCGATCCGTTAACTTCCATTACCAGACACATTGCCTGCCATTTTCTCAGATAATCGGCAATTTTAAGTGCAACTAACTAATTGCTTCTCCAGCTCCTTGTTACCTGCTGTTAATTGAGCTTAACGTGGTGCTGGCTAGCAAAATGTTGTGCCATTGCACTTCACCTACAAAACGAAGTTTCCCATGTCAATCATTTGGTGTTTGCCACAAATGCAACGCTGCAACGTCGGACGCCATCCGCCTACTGTCGGGTAGGTCCAAAGCTTCACTTTTTGCTGCTGCTGCTGCTGCTGCAGAGGCTTACACTCTCTGTCTGTCCGATTGCATTATTATTGAATTTTTGCTGCAATGCTCTTTCCAACTGCTGCCTGCATAGTAACTTCTCCTTCGCTTCCCTCCCGCAATGTTCGGCTGTCTGTCGCAGCGTCAGCTGCTTGTCCTCTGTCTGTCGCATTGTCGCGGGCCTTGTCTAACTGTCGCCGCTTCGCATTGTTGAGTCGTCTGCCTGTCCGGTCGAACAATTGCCATCTTCCCGAATCTACGACCGTACGCTGTCTGTCTGCCAGTCTCTTTCACTTTGGTTAAGCACATATTTACCATGTTGTTGTTGTTTTTGTTGTTGTTGCTGTTGTTGCTGCTGTTGTTGCTGCTGTGGGGGTGCTTTTTCCATCAGGTTATGTTGGCTAACTAGGCCCTTGCTAAAGAATTTTCCACGAATTGCAAATTAAAGCGTCCGCTTTTCAGTTTAATTTTGTGCAGTTTCAGCTTCAGCTTCAGCTTCAGCTTAAGGCTCAGCTCACACATACACACACACACACACAAACACACATACATTGTGATGGCTCGTAGGTTAAAGTTCAGGCAGTGGCAGTTAGTAAGTGCGATCCCCCCTCTGCGCCTCCCCGCCCTCCAAGTGCCACTCGAAAATCGTGTTTGCCTTCATGTTTCGCTCGCTCGCTCGTTCGTTCGCTGGCTACCTTTCCGTTTTGTTTTTCCTACTTTATACTTATTTTTACCTCTTCTCGAGTGACGCGACCTTTCACGGCATTGCAGCACATTTTCCACTGTTGCCCCCTCTGCTTCAGTCGCTGCCTCCGTTGTTGCTGCCGCTTTGCATTGCAGTTGATTTTTTCGAGTGCCGTGAATTGCGTTTTGATTGAAAAGAAAGTGACATTTCCGTTGATTTCTTCTCGGCAGTGTTGTGTTGATTTTTCGCGCGTGCAGAGTTTTCCTTTTTACCATACACACACACACACACTCTTGTATTCTTCCATACACACATACGCGCACGCATACACTGAGTGTCGGACTTTCAGATGAATCGCCAATGTGTGTCGACTTTTGTTTTCTTGCGTGTTGTTAAATGAATTTCTGTTGCCACTATTTTGCATATGCCTGAAGTGTCAATTAAGGTGAAGTTTTTGGCGGCCATCCCGTCCATCCATCGATTCATCAATCCATCCATCATTCCTTCCATATATTAAGGCAAACATGTAGTTTTCTGTTTCATTAGCTGGTCAATATGCTGCCAATGGCTCGTATTCTGACACATCAGAGTAAACGCCTACAGACCTCTTTTCGGTAGAAGAACAATGTGGCGTATGCGTAATATTTGCAGTCCTTTTTTGCATCTTGAACTCTAAAGCTATGTTTGAGCAGTTGTCGGTAATAAATGGGGCCTGACATAGCTCATCAAGCTAAAAGGAATCCCGCAATGTGAATTCGTTTCCTGAACAAAACAGTCGCATTGTGTAATAAATTCGCGTTTTCATTTTAAAGGACAAATATAGGTTTTCAGCATTATTATGAACTAAGATAGCATTCTTTAGATATAATTGTAATAAACCACGTATTATCGCTTGCCTTTCGGTTGCATTCACCTGCAAATTTGTCAGAATCTTCTTTTAAATATCTGTTGCCCCTCATAGGTTTTTTTGCCCTCACTGTAAAAGAACAATCTACACAATTCTAGAAGCAAAACGTTTCAAAAAATCTTACCACAACAAAATTAATTGCTTCCAATTTTTCTTTTGAAAGCCTCTTGGATTATTGTTCTCACGAACCGCAAATCATCAAATTATTAAACCATGATATTGAGCACTAAAATGTAATGGATTTCATTAAAGAACGGAAATACAAACTTTGCAGCTATATTTGCGAATATTGTATGAAGATACGAACGCTTAGCTTGAAATTAAGATCTCCGATTGCAAGGTGTTAAAAACTATTTTTACAATTAAATTAAATAAAATATTTTTAGTCGTATGTTTTGCTTAGGCGTTATTTAAAAATATTCCAGCTACTTTAAATGATATTGCTTACTAAATAATTGTGATGAAATATTACTGCCAGCAGGATTTTATTTATTTTGTGGGTATTTTCACTATGATGCTATCGAATATGGAGTATATTTCTTTAAGTCTATTTCATTTTACTTTTGTGAATCTAAATTAATTAATGAACTTTTCTTGGGAATGTAATAAAAT